CAGCTGATTTCCCATCATTTAAAAAAAAATTTTTTGTGCACTGAAACATCTCCACCATTTGACAGTGCAAAGTGTTCAGACTTCATAGTCACTGACTAAAAGGTGGGCATACATCTATTCTGAAATATGGTAGTAGGAAAATTATTTTAGCCTTGTCCCCTTTGTGAAAATCAATAAATATTTGGCTTACATGAACGATGACAAGCTGACTGGATTTTGTATAAGAGCATACTTCAGTGACTCTACATTGTGTGTATGAAATTGGTGACTAGGTTCCGAATAATATAGACCATGTACGTGGGAGGTGTATCTGCCCAATAAAAGAAGAGCTTCTTGGCTGCTGAAGTGTAGCAGCTGGGGCTGCCTTTGTCTCAGGGCCTCGTAGTAACTGGGACCTTTGGCCAATGGGAGCCGCTATTGACGACAGGTCAGATTGGTCCTGGGTATCAATGGAGTCACCATGGAGCCATTTGGAGCTCGTCCCCTGGAGCAGCACGTTGTGGTCGAGCACTCTCCCCTTGGGTCAGGACACTGCCCTGAGCAGATCCTCGAGGTTGAGAGCCCTCACTTGTCAGGTGAGTGATAGAGCGGTTTGGGGTTGTCGTTAAACCCCAGGGAGCGGGACTTTGTGTTCTGGGTTGCCGTTAAACCCTAGAAAGCTGTTCTGTTCTCCTCTCACAGACATTTGAACCTGTAATTTATGGAAAGCTAGTTACCTGTGTTAATAATAATTTTTTTGTATTTTTGGTGGTTGGCTGTTTAACTGAGAGCATCTGTAACAACGTAGGAGCATCCAAACCTACTAGCATTTTGTGTATTTTACCTGTCCAGCAAATGAAAATGAGGTGTTTGTTGTTCTCCTTTCTTTTAGGGTGGTTTAGTCAATAGGAAGCCATTAGTGGAGTTTACAGGGCTGGGTGGAGAGAATGAACTTGCTCAGTAATGCAGAGTTAATTTGGATGCTCACTGGAGAGAGACCACAAAAGCGTGAGACATCTGTATTGCCTGGGCAGGCAAACAATGATGACACCAAGATATCTCTATTGGGACATGGCAGGTTTCTGAGTCACTAAGCCAGGACACTGTAGCTCTGCTGTTTTGCATCTCCCAGATGTGTACAAGGCATGATTTTATGTAATCTAATGCATGTGTTTCATATATAGCAGATTATCATCCAGTTGTTAAATTCAAATTTAAAAACCCCACAACGCACAAATGTTCTTTTAAAGCTAGTTTTCAGGAATTCTGATACCCTTAGCAAAAAGCCACTGCCCGGCAAAAGCTTCCCACTATTTTTAATACTGCTGCTAATGCTGTTGTGTATGGGCCTTGGAGCCGAATAACTGGCATGGTAGCAGAATGTAAATTGATTAAATGATTAGCATTAAATATGACACTTTTGTACTTTGTAGCCGTTTAATGGTATACACACACACCAACATACACAGACACATACCTATTACCGTCAGCTGTGGAGAGGGAATCCATGACAAATTAATCTCAGACTAGCTAAAGGAATGCTATCTTTAAGATTATGCCAGTTTTCCTTCCCTCTATACCAAATCAGCCTGCTTAGGATGTTTGTTTGCCTGGTTGATTGTCTGTTGAGGCAAAATTAAAGTCTCAGTCTTTTGGAAAAGCTTTGTGCTTTCTGAATAATTTAAAAAAAATATTTGAACGAGGAAGGAGAGATTTAATCCAAAATATTGCTAAAAGCTACTGCTTGGACCATGAGGCAAACTCAGCCCCAGGTTACCTGCAATCCAAACAGGAATATGTGTGAGGGAAACAAGCTTAGAAAGAGAAAGTGACTTTTCCACTGCTGCTAGGAGAAAAGCCCAGTGTTCCAACAGAACAGCTGTCTTCCTGCTGACCTCTGCCTGGCCAAAAACCACTCTGATTTTCAGCCAAACTTAGAGCTAACATGGATGTCTCTGAGGCAACACATAAGATGTATGGTATACACCATTTCATATCAGTAATGAGTGTGTTTTCTTGCGCAGTGTTAGAATAGTGATTCTCAAGCTGTTTTTCATTAGGCAGGCACTGAACTCTCCATCCTAGTGCTGACCATTTTCATGCTAATTCAGGAGCTACTGAAGAGCTTCAAACATCATTAAGTAGATAAAAAACTCCTTAGCTCCTCATGTACAACAGTATGATTACATGCATGATTTTCTACTGTGTTTTCTTAACTGCTTCTGGATCCCAAATACTCCCATGTTTAAGAACCGTTGTGCTCTTCTTGTTCTTTATTTTAGGTAGCTTCCACTTCCAGATAAGGAGAGGGCTCTGTGGGATGCAGTGTATAAATTTTGTGTAAACTTACATAAGAAGTTTATAAAACATTTATAAAGTTTGTATATACTCTGACTGCACACTGAAACAGGTTGCCCAGAGAGGTGGTGGAATCTCCATCCTTGGAGATATCAAAAGCCATCTGGACATGGTCCTGAGCAATCTGCTTTAGGTGGCCCTGATTGAGCAGGGGGTTTGGACCAGATGACCTCCAGAGATCCCTTCCAATCTCAACCATTCTGTGCTTCTGTGAAATTTACAGAGCAAACAAATTAGATCTGTCCTTCCTGTGAAATATATGATATATAGGGGCAAGACAGACAAGAAGGCCAGGCAGAAAAAGGGTGAATGAAGTGTAGTTTCATTTATCTTATATTTAGAGATAAATTTATTGATTTGCTGAAGGTTGCTACAGAAAGCCCAAACAATTCTAAGATGTGAACTTGGAATTCTTGAAATGTCATGACAACAATCAGCTTGATTCTGTTTTCCTGAGCTGGAGATTCCGTTTCCTATCAAAGCAGAAGTTTTACCATCCTACTTTCAGTTTTGCTTTCCTAGTCAAATTAATCTCTGCTTATGTGACCAAGAAAATATTTGATGTCACAAGATGCTGAACTCCTTTACCAGTCACTGAAATTGAATTCAGCAGTGCTGTGAATATTAATGAGAAGAGGCTCTGCTCATACAATGGGAAGAGGCTCTTCACTGGTTCTTTATAGAACCAAACTCAATGGTTAAATATAAAACCAGCTATAACACCTTTTCATAGACAGAAGTAGCTACATATAAACGGGAGCAATGGAGCTATGGCCTGTAGTAAAAATTCTGTTTTCAGTGACTTTGAGATCTTCATTTTTCATTCCTCTGGGTGCAATTGTTTTAACTGAATTTGGCTATTAAATAAGTGATTCATCTGAGATAGTAATTTCTATTACAGGAGGTGAATAACAAGGAGACCAATAGTAGCCAAAGGAATTAGAGCTAAAATCTGGAAACCATGAAATGTGGTGTTTGTGTAAACCTGATGAGAACAGATCCTTTAATCAGAAGTAGAGCATGAAAAAGTCTGTTGGAAGCAGACACAAGGAAGGTATGTGTAAGCTCTTGCTCCTGAAAGATTTTTCCCTGAAGCAGATTTGAAAAGGAAGAGGAGAAGATAAGTGGTTCCATATGACTTTTTTTTTGGAAATTACTCTTTTTTTCCAAGACCATCTCGGCTGAAATCAATTTCCCCTAATGGAGCTGCCCCAACTACTGTTCTTCATTAAGAAGCCAGGTGTTCTGCGTGGTCTGTTTTGAATAAATGGCAGACTATTTCTGAAAGACAATTTTTCATTTCTACTTTGTCATATTTATTTGGTCTGTTCCTGTTTCAAATTGATGACTTGGCTAATCTAAAATTAAAAGGCCTACACTGAGCACTCTCAACTCTTGTTGACTTTAATTAGAATTTTAAAGTGATACTATCTTCCAAGACAAAGTTGATGTTTATAGCATTTAAAATATAGAGTCATGAACGAGAAACTGACAGATTCTTCTTTTCCAAAGACGCTAGTCAGGATTTTAAAGGTGGTTTTACAATAGAAGGTGCAGTTTCTACAAAACAACATTGCATTGGGAAGCTTTCAGTTTGTCTGAGATATGGCATATTGATGTTTCACACAGGGTCAGCCCAAGTGACTTTGTAATAGTCTCGTTTGTTCAAACAACCCTAAATATTTATTTCATATTAATTAAATTAGGATGGGTTTCCCTACTGCATCAAGCTGCTGCCTGGGAACCCTACTCTGTTCAGCTCTCATGATGCAGTGTCATCCTTCCTCCAGCTAACAGCCCATTGCCATCTGACTGCAGGGACTGCATGGGAGATGTAAACTGGCCCATAAGGGCCTTTGGGAACATCTAATAAACGGCAACCGATGTGATCAGTCACATGACAGATCTACTCCCGTGAGTACCTGCATGAGTGTCTTGAGTGTGTAAGTGTCCAAATAAGAACAGCAAGAGATAATCTATCATTTTGATTTCTGCAGGCCTTCTGCATGTTTACAACAACCTATATGTTGACATGGACTTGCAGAATATGGAAAGAGAGGGGTGGTCTATGAACTAATTCTGTCACATTGCCTGATGCTGATTTAGTAGTGCCGTACTCTTGCTGAGATTATTGCTTTAATAATTTCAGTGCTGCCTTCTTTAGGAAATGTTGGGGATAAATTGCTTCCATGGAAAATTTCTAGCCTTTAAAAGAGATTATTATTTTCTGTAAAATCAGTTTATTCTGACTAGCTTTACTTTAAGCGGTCAGTTGTAACATTTTTGAGCCACAGAAATACAGAAACATTTGACTTTCATCATTGTGTGATAGAAAATCCACACTCTTTCAATGAAATATGATCATGGATTCCTGCTGTGGAAAAAGAAGTAGGTAATTACTCTAGATGGCTTTCTATATAGTAACAGAAATCTACAGGCTAGTACAGGACATTGGAGGTTTACCCAAGTCAGGAATCTTTGCTTGCTGCCACTTTAGCAAAGGATTTCTGAAAGACAGAGTTGGAAGATGTCCATGGATTTCTCTGAACAACGGAAAAGAGGTGTGTTGCCATCCCTGTATCTAAACACCAACAGTATTTTTCTGGTGGTTCATGCAAGGAATAATTATTGGCTTGTTGGGTTGACATCACAAGAAAGAGTAAGATGGAAAAGCTTGTAGGTTGAGGTAAGGACAGGGGCATCACTTAAACAACTACAACCACATGCAACACAGACTTGACTTGGGGAAAATTAATTTATTGCCAATTAAAAGGAGAGCAGGATTGTGAGAAACAGAGACAAAAACTAAAACAACTTCCCATCCACCACCACAGACTCCAACATCACTCCTTCAATTCCAAGCAGCACAGGAGGGTGAAGAATGGGGTTTGTGGTTAGTCCCTAACATTCCATCTCTGCTGCTCTTCCTCCTCACTCTTGCCCTGCTCCAGTGTGAGGTCCCTCCCACAGGATACAGTCCTCCATGAACTTCTCCAGTGTGGCTCCTTTCCATGGGCTGCAGCTCTTAACTGCTCCAGTGTGGGTCCCTCTCACGGGGTGCAGTCCTTCAGGAACAGACTGCTCCAGTGGGGGTCCCCCATGGAGGGGGGGCTTGGGGACCCCCCAGGTCCTGCGAGAAAACCTCCTCCTGTGTGGACTCCTCTCCACAGGCTACAGCTTCCTTCAGGCAATGTCTGCCTGTGGTGTTGTGGGGTCCTCCATAGGCTGCAGTGTGGATATCTGCTCCAGCATGGTCCTCCAGAGGCTACAAGGGGACAACCTGCTTCCCCATTGTCTTCACCATAGGCTGCAGGGAAACCTCTGCTCCAGCATGTGAAGCAGCTTCTCCTCTTCTTCACTGACTTGGATGTCTGCAGGGCTGTTTCTCTCATATTTTTCTCATTCTCTCAAAACTGGTGAGAGATGTTCTTTATACTTTCTTAAATACATTTCCCCAGAGGCACCACCAGCTTGACTGCTTACCTCTGGCCAGCAGTTTGTCTGTTTTAGCACTGGCTGGAACTGGCCATGTCTGGTACAGGACAGCCCTTGACTTCTCCTCACAGAAGCCACCCCTGCCACCCCCCACTGCCACCCTTGACAATACATTGGAATAGCTCATATGGTAGAGAGGCTAATGCTTCTTTTTGTGTTGGTTGTAGTGGTGCAGGCCCATAACACCCTGAGAGCACAAAATACCTGAACTGCACATGAGAATTTCTCTTCATAACCAAAGGGTCTCCTACACCTCAGGCCACAGCATCTTTGCTCCTCATGTAAAACTGTCATAGTTTTGCTGGAAGTCCCTGGTTCTCCATGTCATGTCCCATGTTGTGTGTCCATAAAGCCTACACTGTGACTGATACTGAAGCATTGTTTTGTCCCAAGTGGCAGCACTGACAAGGTGATGAGACATGTTTTGGGTGGCATGCACAGATTAGATGGTGTGGTTTTGAACTATCATAAGGATGCAGGAACTCAATGAGTGTTTAGCAATTTTCAGGCAGAGGAGACAGGTCCAGAAGCAGTGAGAGAGAGGGTATTTCCTGGAGCATTGTAACAGCCAGACAGTGAGCTCTCCCATCTGATCCAAAATGAGAGATAAGGATGTTTCCTAGTGCTCCTGTGGTTCATACTTGTTCAGAAATGTGTCCATCCCTGGTTCCTGGGTAAATTTTGTGTAAGGAAGTGAGGAGCTCATTCAGTGGAATGTTATGGATGACCAGCTCACTGCTACATACCCACTCCCGCAGCACTGGGAGTCTAACAATAGGCCGCAGAGCACTGGCCACAAGCAATTGAAAGGGAGAGCAAACCTGTGATGGAGTGACTACATCAGTGGACAAGGGAAGAGCTATGGATGTCATCTATCTGGACTTCTGCAAGGGCTTTGACATGATTCCCCACAACATCCTTTTCTCTAAATTGTAGAGATATGGATTTGATGGGTGGACTGTGCAGTGGATGAGGAATTGGTTGGATGGTTGCATCCAGAGGGTAGTGGTCAACAGGTCCAGATAAAGGTCAGTGACAAATGGTGTCCCTCAGGAGTCATACTGGGACCAGTAGTATTTAGTGTCTTAATGACACAGGTAGCGGGATCAAGTGCACCCTTAGCAAGTTTGCAGATGCCAGAAAGTTGTGTGGTGCGGTTGACATGCCTGAGGGACAGGATGCCATCCGGGGGGACCCAGGCATGCTCAAGAAGTGGGCCCATGTGAACCTCATGAGGTTCAACAAGGACAAATGCAAGGTCCTGCACCAGGGTAAGGTCAACCCCCAGTATCAATACAGATTGGGGGATGAAGGGATTGCAAACAGCTCTGCAGAGAAGGACTCAGGGGTACTGGTGGATGAAAAGCTGGACAGGAGCTGGCAATGTGTGCTTGCAACCCAGAAAGCCAATTGTGTCCTGGGCTGCATCAAATGAAACATGGCCAGCAAGTTGAGGGAGCTGATTTTGCCCCTCAACTCTGCTCTGGTGAGACCCCACCTGGAGTACTGTGTCCAGATGTGTACAGCCCTCAGCAGGGGAATGACATGGACCTGTTGGAGTGGGTCCAGAGGAGGGACACAAAAGTGATCAGAGGGATGGAATGCTTGTCCTTGTGGGGAAAGGCTGAGAGAGTTGGGGTTGTTCAGCCTGGAGAAGAGAAGGCTCTAGGGAAACCTCACTGTGGCTTTTCAATACTTAAAGGGGGCTTATAAGAAAGATGGGGACAATTTTTTTAGTAGTGCCTGTTGAGAACAGAACAAGTTTTAAACTAAAAGAGGGTAGATTCAGACTAGATATATAGAAGAAATTTTTTATGATGAGGGTGGTGAAACACTGAAATAGGTTGCCCAGAGAGGTGGTAGATGCCCTATCCCTGGAAATATTCCAGGTCAGGTCAGATGGGGCTCTGAGCAACCTGATCTAGTTGATGTCCCTGCTCATTGCAGGGGAGTTGGATGAGATGATCATTGGAGGTCACTCCCAACCCAAACCATTGTATGATTCTATGGTTTCCTTATCCACTTGTAAATACATGCAGACAATCCACTGGCAAAATTGTGTAGTGTATTAAATCAGGTAGTGTGTTTTCTTGATACTGTCTCGTCAAGGTCCTAGATTCTTTGAGATCATGGCCATGAATGTCAGCATGCATAAAGAACATTGGGGGTAGCTGGACTAAATAGCTAAATCCTATTTAACACTTCTGAAAGATGGAAGAGCATCAGCTCTCTTAACAAGAAAAACACTGAACAGTGAGAAGTGATTTCTCCCCTTGGCTTACTCAGTCGATATCTCTGGCCATTTTAGACTCTGCCAGTAACTTTACTGTGCTTATCACTCCTCTGATCTCCCAACCTTTTCTTTTTTTAAACACTCATTTCTTTCATTGTTTGTGCTATGCTGTAGGCTGAACTACAGAGAGAAGTATTTGTGTAAAGGAATGAACAAGTGTGATATTTCAAAAAAAAAAAAAAGTATTTAATCATCTTTAAAATTTACCAGTTCACAGCTGTTTGCAGGCATATGCTGTCTTAGAAATTAGTTGTCATTAGCTAACTTGAAGTAGAAATTCACTTACTGCCATTACACAAAGCTGAAGGTTACCACTTACTAAGAGAGAATAAATTCAAGCTCATATGGGTGAAAGCCACCTCAGTAGTCTAGTCTACCTTCTGGACTCATGTAATAGAAACATACAACACACAGAGAGCCTTGGTGTCCCCTTTATCAGAAGGCAAATCACGACTGTTTAGTGTGTTTCTATTATATTACAGGAAAATATCTCACAGTAACTTGATCCACTACAGTTGTTAAGAAGAAATTCCTTGAAATATTAGTCCATTTTTATTGTTTATGTGCTGACTTAACTCAGATTAGAAGGTCAGACTGTCCAGATCACTTTTCTGTCTTAGTGAAAGATGAATAGTTTAATTTTCTCACTAATATTTTTAGTTGCAGGGCCCGATGGAATAGCAGCCAGCTGTCCAACCTTCTCCTTAGCACTACCTCAATGTTATATTAATTTCCTGGTCATTTCCTGGCCACCATTTACAATGCCACTTAACTCTGTCTTTTCAGTTTCTCACAGACCTCTCTGTGTGCAGGATGCTCATAACTTTTTGGCTAAATTGTGGATGCTAGTGGATCTTTCCTATTCCCCCAACTGCAGCAGTGATACCAGGAATGCTAGGCTGCATTCAGGGACTGTCATTTCAACTGTAAATACCCTCTGCAGGTCAGACAGTTCAAAATACACTGGGATGAAGAAAAAGAGCTTGGGTTGCAAATGTATTGAAGTGAAAAACCGTTGTTTATTTGTATCTATCTGAGGCATGTCTCTAGTGCTTCTTTCAGCTATGTGTGATATACATGTCACAGAGAAACTGCATGCATTAATATCACAGAAGCAGGGCTTAGAGTTATACACAGCCATAAAGCACAGGCACGGTTGCAGAGACTTAATTCCTGATATAAATAACATGCACTGGAGAGTTTGGCTAAAGACATGTTAATTTCTCAGCAATAACAATTCTCTTGAAGTTTATGGCCACTGCAGAAAAATGTAAGATAAAAAAGCCTACCATATGTCTTTTCATTTCCCAGAATATAACAAAGCCTCTTCATTTTTCCCTTCTTTAATCTTTTGTATGCTGTGTTTTTCTCAGGGCTTGATAGGCTCTTTGGTCAGATACCATTTTTATGCACACATTACTTGAACTGTGGACCAATGTTTTGTGGGGCTACCCTTTACTTTCAGTCATTTAGAGACCACACAGAGAGAATGTTTGTTGTTTTTTCCACCTAAAAAGACTTTGTGTGTGTAATAATGCATTGCATATTTAAAGGAATATTTTCTTTTGTATGCTTCGTAGATGGGAGAGAATGAGTTAAAAAAGAGCAACTGAAAACGGAAACAATCAAATACAAAAACATCTTTGGTCACCCAGAAAAATGTTCACAAGAGAGGTTTATTTACAGGCTGAAATGACGTTCACACCTTGTTTGCTTGGAAATGTCTTGCTCTTTCAATGGCACACTTTGGTTGGTAAACAACCATTAAAATTCTGAGCAGATCTGCATAGCTTGCAGGAAAACCTCTCAAAACAGCTGCAGCCTCCTTTCAGCTGATGGGAATTAATAACAGCCTTTGTTCTACAGGCTCTTCCGTTTGCACCCACAAAATGGGCTGAAAGCCACTTTTCTCAGACCACTGGTGCCCACAGGAGCCTGAACCCCATGCTGTGGTTGAGAATGAGCAGTGGAGGGTGATTGTGGCACTGACTTCTGCCTTTCCCCTCCCCCTTGCTGTGCCCTACAGAAAACAGCGCTGAGTCCAGCTGGTATGGTGAGATACAGATCTGCTCTCACTCCTTACTTCCCTCTCGTCTCTCCTTTTTATTGTGGGTGAGCCCACTGCGGATGCTTTTGGTGCCTATAGTAGCAATCATTAAGAATAAGTTAGAAACAGCTCATTTAACGATCATGGGAACTAAGTGTGAACCTCTGAGAGAAACACCAAAAATGGAGGAAACTCATCCTGAGCCAGCAAGCACACGAAAAATTTGATGAACAACATGGTGAAAAGAAAAAGGGGGGACTGTGATAGGTGGTAAACCGTCTGTTCAACAAATTCAGCGAACTGTAATATGAACTATTGCATATTGTGCAATACTAACAGCAAATGCTTAATTGAACTAACATGATCGTGTAAAAAAAAAAAAAAAGAAGTGACAGGAAGGGGGGGGAACAACAAGAGAAGAAGCATCAGAAGATGTGGAGAATTGCAGGTGCATAATTGAATAAAACAGGAGGATGTTCACGACCATGAATCTCATTATGCAAAGAGATTACTGAGCCTAGACTGATAAGAACAGGACAAACTCAGAGGACCATCACGTAACAAGTGAAAGGTGAAAAGTACACTGTGAGGAGGACCTACGGCCTTCCTCCCAGAAGACCACCCCCATGATTTGAAGACCCCTGCCTGTAGTTTTAACAACTTCTGCGCAAGTGTAAAGGACTGATAAGCTAATTACCATACGAAGCGGGAGTAGGCGGGTTCAAGTAATGAATATGTATAGGTGTATAATGACTATGTAATACTTTGTAGTATAAGATTGAAACAGAGTGCCCTGGAGGGTGTGGTGCAGTCCGTTGTTGGAGCAGGAGACTCCCTGGCCGCCCAGCGCTGTTTTGCTTGTTGCCGCTTGCTAAATAAAGAAATTGGGAACTCTGACTCAGCCAATTTTAAGAAGTCAGTTTATAACAAAATGGTGCCGTGACTCGGATCGTGGTTTCCCAACAGAGTCCCATACGGGGATGTGCCCTGCTGGATTTCAGCTGCCCCTGCCTGCGGATTGGTCTGCTGGAGCCCCGACTGATGAACCCTAAAATTCGGCAACAAGCAAAAGAACACCAGTCAACCCCATAATCTTTGTGCACAAAGTTCCGGACGAAGACACACGGGGTTGCATAAGTATAGGCCGGTTTCCCGTAAGGTTGGGGTTGGGTTGCCTGGAGTGTGGTGTGTGAGATGCCTGGTAGGGCGAAGCAAGTGCGGACCCTCGGCAGTGCGGTTCTCATATCCCGTGAGGGACTGGGCCACGAAAAAGGGCAGTAAAGTGTGTGAGTGTGTGCAGACGCTCCAGAAGATGGGACAGAAGAAGAGCAAGCCTTCTGATCCCATGGGTGGTGTGGGAACTCAGGTGAGGTACCCTCAGATACCACCGGATAGCCCTTTAGGACTGATCTTAAGTAATTGGGAAAATTACCCCTCTAGGTGGGGTAAGGACAAAGTAAAAATGATTTATTATTGTATGGAAGTTTGGGGTGGCAAACAAATTAGGGGAGACCATCTCTATTGGACTGTTTTCGGGTCCTTTGAAGAGTGGGTCTGCCAAGCCTTAAATATTTATGTTAATTCAAAGGAACCTTTTTAATCCAGAAGAAAGTGAGTATGCACATGTATGGATAGCATCAGATACTCAAATAAAATTATACCCTCTTAAGGAGGGTGGAGGGGAGGTCAGAAAAAAGAAGAAATGTATTGAGGATGAAGCTTATACCTCACCCCCTCCTTACATTCCTCCACCTCCGCCTTCAGCACCTTCACCTCCCCTGTCCACACCGGAAGACTTAGGAGATTTAGATTCCCCACCAGATTCTCCAGGGGAGCAAAGAAGAATAACTTGGGGTCAAACTAGAAGGGAGGGTGCTAATACCAGCTTATACCATTAAGGGAGGTGGCTATGGGGGGACCCCAGCAAGGCGTAGGTTACGTAGCAGTTACCCTTAACTCAGGGGACGTCAGAGAATTTAAGAAAGAGATGGGGAATCTGCTGGAGGGCCCTCTGGGTGTGGCAGAATGAGTAGATCTGTTCCTGGGACCAAATACTTACACTTGGGATGAAATGCAAGCTATAATGGCAATATTATTCACTGCCGAGGCGAGAGAGATGGTCAGGAGGGCAGGAATGAGGATCTGGAACCAACAGCACCAACAGGGTCCGGCAGCAGATGTAAAATGGCCTCTGAATAGACCCAATTGGAATAATCAGAATGAGATTGATAGAGGCCACATGCAGGACCTAAGGACAATTGTAGTCCAAGGCATAAGAGAATCAGTCTCTAGGGGACAAAACATAAACAAAGCCTTTAGTGAACACCAGAAAAAGGATCAAACCCCTACCGAATGGCTAGAAAGGCTGAGAAAAAAACCCTCCAGCTCTACTTGGGAATAGATCCAAATACACTGGTGGGGCAGGCATTGTTAAAAACACAGTTTGTGGCAAAAGCCTGGACAGATATTAGAAAGAAATTAGAAAAGATGGAGGACTGGCAGGATCGGGGGTTGGATGAATTGCTTAGAGAGGCACAGAACGTTTATATCCAGAGGGAGAGTGAAACTCAGAAACGGCATGTTAGAATGATGGTAGCTACGATAAGAGAGGGACAGAGAGTGGATGGGGGTGGGAGAAAACAGGAAGGCTAAAGAACGGGATCGAAGGAATCGGAGAGGGGGAGAGAAAAGAGGGCTATTACCTGCTTTTATTGTGGAGGTAGAGGCCACACAAAGAAGAACTGTAGAAAGAGAATGATGGATGAGAAAATGTTTGAAGAAGAGTAGGGGTGTCGGGGGCTCTATTTACTGGGGACTAAAGAACGAACTGAGCCCTTGATAAAGTTAAAAGTAGGTCCCCGACAACAAGAGATAGAATTTCTAGTGGATTCAGGAGCAGAGAGATCTACTGTTCAGTCACTGCCCCAAGGTTGTGAAATTTCATCAGAAAAAGTACAAGTGGTTGGGGCAAAAGGGGTACCGTTTGGAGTACCTGTTATCAAAGATGTGCTCCTCAAACCAGATTCTAAAATGGGGATAGGATCCTTGTTGACTGTACATGAAGTGGACTATAATTTGTTGGGGAGAGATTTAATGATTGAATTGGGTATTAGCTTAGAAGCAACCAAACATAACCTTAAAATTAAACTATGCCCCTTATGGGTCGAAGATGAAACCAAGATAAACCCCTAAATATGGTACACTCCTGACACTGCAGAGAAATTAAATATTGAGCTTTTTATGGTGACTATCCGAGATCCTGAGGTACCGGTGAGAAGTAAACAATACCCTATATCTCAGGAGGGAAGGCAAGGATTAAAACCAGAAATTCAGAGATTGATAAAGCAGGGATTATTGGAGCCCTGCATGTCTCCTTTTAACACCCCCATATTGCCTGTAAAAAAGGCAGATGGGAGTTATAGATTAGTCCATGACCTAAGAGAAATCAACAGAAGAACTATAATTAGATTCCCTGTAGTAGCTAACCCACACACACTTTTATGTCAATTAGGCCCAAATGACCAGTGGTACAGTGTAATAGACTTGAAGGACGCTTTCTGGGCGTGCCCCCTTAAAAGGGAATGTAGAAATTATTTTGCCTTTGAGTGGGAGGACCCAGATACTCATAGGAAAATCCAACTTCGGTGGACAGTCCTCCCCCAGGGGTTCACCGAATCCCTAAACTTATTCGGACAAGCTCTAGAACAGATCTTACAAGATTACCAGGTAGGAGACACTCTCACCCTGGTTCAGTATGTAGATGATCTTTTAATCGCAGGGGAAGATGAAGAGATGGTGCAAGAGGAAAGCATCAGGCTGCTAAATTTTCTGAGCTTGAAAGGACTGAAAGTGTCTAAATCCAAATTACAATTTGTAGAAAAGGAAGTTAAATACTTAGGGCATCGATTAAGCCAAGGAACTAAAAAGCTAGATCCAGAAAGAGTTAAGGGAATACTTTCCCTACCACACCCAAAAACCAAGAGGCAAGTCCGGCAATTATTAGGATTGGTCGGGTATTGTAGACAGTGGATCAAGGGGTACAGTGGAAAAGTAAAGCTCTTATACAACAAAATAACTGAGGATGGATTATTAAAATGGACCCAGGAGGATGATGAATGGTTAGAGGAACTAAAAACTGACCTAGTAAATGCTCCTGTTCTGAGCCTGCCTGACTTAAAAAGACCATTCTTCCTGTTTGTTAATATAGAGGAAGAAACCGCATTTGGAGTATTAGCTCAAGAATGGGCAGGAAAAAAGAAACCAGTAGCATATATGTCAAAATTTTTAGATCCTGTAAGTCAGGGATTTGTGGTAGCAGCCACTTTGTTAACTGAAGAAGCACATAAAATAACCTTTGGTAGTGAATTGAGAATATTATCACCTCATAATATCAGAGGTGTGCTGCAACAAAAAGCAGACAAATGGATAACTGATGAGAGATTGGTCAAATATGAGGCGATTCTCATTACATCCCCCCACCTAACCCTTGAAACCACATCATTACAAAATCCGGCCCAATTTTTATATGGAGCACCTAATGAAAATCTCATCCACGATTGTCTTAGTAATATAGAAGAGCAAACTAAAATAAGGCCAGATTTGGAAGAAGAGGAATTGGAAAAGGGAGAAAAGTTATTTGTAGCTGGGTCCTCTCGGGTGGTAGAGGGGAAAAGAAAATCAGGATATGCCATAATCAACAGAAAAGCCTTCGAAGTGATAGAGTCAGGACCTTTGAGTCCTGGCTGGTCAGCACAGGCATGTGAATTATATGCTGTATTAAAGGCTTTACAGTTGTTGAAAGGAAAGGTAGGAACTATATATACAGATTCTAGATATGCTTTGGAGTGGTGCATATTTTTGGAAAAATCTGGGAGGAAAGAGGTTTAATTAATTCCCAGGGAAAAAGTCTGGTGCATCAGGAATTGATATTACAAATATTACAAGCTGTACGGGGGCCAGCCGAAATAGCAGTAGTACACCTAAAAGGACACCAGAGAGGGCTAAGCCCCCTCATAAGAGGAAATAACCTTGCTGATCAAGAGGCAAAAAGAGCAGCTTTGTTAACATTGCATTTAGATGACCCAATAGAAACAAGGAAACAAGTGCATGGAGGAAGAAATTTAGCTCAGAGGCCTTTTGCGAGAATACAAAGAGACTTCACTGAATTACCAAAAGTAGGAAAATAGAAATATTTATTAGTAATTATAGATCACCTGACCCATTTTGTAGAGGCCTTTCCCACGGCACGAGCCACAGCTCATACAGTAACAAGAATATTACTTGAAGAAATTATACCCCGATATGGAATAATAGAAGTAATAGATTCGGATAGAGGCCCACACTTTGTATCTAAAGTGGTCAAAGAAACTTTGGCTGCCCTGGGTACACGGTGGCAATACCACACCCCGTGGCACCCTCAAAGGTGGTTGAACACATGAATGGAGAAATAAAGAAACAGCTTACCAAATTAATATTAGAAACTAAAATGTCCTGGGTAAAATGTCTCCCCTTGGCCTTATTAAATATCAGAACCCAGCCCCGAACTGATGTAGGGATCTCTCCCTTTGAAATGTTATATGGAATGCCTTATGATTTTGAAATGCCCCCTGATCACCCTCAAATTAAAGAGGCAAGAATAATATCCTACCTAATACAACTAATGGCAAGGAGAAAACAACTACAAGCCCGGGGAATGGTGGTACAAAGGCCTCCTTTGGACATAACAATGCATCAAATTCAACCAGGAGATAAAGTATTGATTAAATCGTGGAAAGAATCTTCCTTGACCCCCAGCTGGGAAGGACCCTATGTTGTTCTTATCACTACAGAAACTGCTATTCGAACTGCTGAGAAGGCGTGGACGGATGCCAGTCGTGTAAAAGGACCTATACGAGATTCGTCCTGGCAAGTGACCAGCTCTCCCGGGGATCTACGAGTCACCCTTCGAAAGACCTAAATGAACACTGGGAAAATCAAGGCACAAGACACCACAAAAGGACTCAGTAAGTGAGACATTAGTATTTTGTCCAATCGAAACCTGTATTTGTTTCCCTATTTGTGTATGGAGTATAACATATGTAAAGAAGGCTGGTGGATTCATAATACATATGAGGTGAACCTCCGATCTAGCTGTAACCAGTGTTACTGACTGGAACGGAGACTAACTAACTGGGTCTTAAAATTGGAATAACAACAGGGAAAACAATTTGGAAAAAAAAAAACAAACAAACAAACAAAAACCAAACAAAAACCTCTCTAAAACTTAAAAACTGGGAGGCCTATGTATCCCGGAGTAGAGGTAAAATGTACCCCTGAAGAATACAACTACTGCCGAGAAGATGAAACACACTGCTGCTCTATGCAACAGAGTAGGCAGAGGAGGCAGAGATGTATACTGGTGGGGAAAAACTTCAAACCCTACTCTGAGAGAAAAAAGGCTCCCAAGAAGTAAAGGCCAGAAAGGGGTGCAAAGCACCTTGACTCTGAAGGAGCAAGGCCCCCCCTTTCTATAGAAGTTGTAAAAACTTTCCGAATCCTACCAACCTTCTATTGGATTTATTGGACTATCTGGATAACAAAGAAATGGAGTTTCCACCCTTCTCAATCCATTCTGAGCATACTGCTCATAACACATATACCACAAGCATGGGCTGGACTGAACCACCAGCCCCATCAAC